TATGAAATGCGGAGAGTTTTCTTCGTTTGAGAAAACGTGTAAGTTCTTGAGAGACAGCTGCACATCCGCTGTGATTGGCTGATTGAGCAGATATGCCAAGCTCGTTCCAATTCTGATTTCTTCACGAGATATGGCTGGACGACCGAATGTTTGCAGCTTGGCTGGCCCAGCTTGTAGCTCTCAGCGACCTTTGCGTCCGGAAACTGAACGCGGAACATTTGTGAACAAACCCGACCTGAGGGCTATTGACCTGATATCACAACTGTGAGTCACGACCACGCCTGCATACATGCATGCCTGACCGGACGATGGAGTATCGCTGCTTGCTCGCTTGTGTTGATGATGGAACGCTTGTCACATGTCTACAATCGAACTTACTTGCAGAGACTATCTATGATCTGCGCAGGTGAGAGTTGTTGTTGTTGTTGTTGTTTCTCACATTAGCTCTATAGACTTTAGTCCACAAAAAATGGGGAGCCCGTGGTCTCAAAACCCGGCACATAAATAGTGTCTTTGCCTGGAATATCGTAGAATAGCCTTGTCTCTGCAAGTTGGTACACGTACGGATAGAAGAGCGAAAGCGCCAGCGTTGTTCATCGGCCTTTCTTGCTGTTCATGCAACCTAGCGTTGCTCATCGCTTGTTTAAGCAATTCCAAAGCAAAACGAGCCGCCTACGTATGTCACCATATTTTATTCGTCTATTTTTTGGTGTGTGTGGTGAACGATTGTTCGCGCATTCTTTCCCTCACACTAATACTTCACCATACCATCACTTACGTATATTGTGTGCCAAGATTAGCTGTGAAAAGCCCGTCTTGGCCATGTGTGCGTTGTGCATGCTTTGGCGTACGCATGGCCGTGTTCCTACGGGGCGGTGAGTAAGCTTGACGTGTGTGCCTGCACATAGTCTACATTACATGTGGACCCTACCGGAAACTACTGCTGTACCACATCCCGCCTTGATCACTACATTATTCAAGATCCGAGACGGACCGAATACACTCTCTGTTTGGTACACAGATGCCCGCTGTTATACCTACCCACCGAACCTCATGTCCTGAGGAATCCATCTACAATAGACATGTGGAGTCAAACCCGGTGTTTGCAGCAGGGATGCTTCCATCCTACGCCGCGCTACCAACGTACATCAACATGATCATTTTAGATCTCGGGAAGTGTCCCGCTGACTACAGTTTCGAAAGGAAAAGCGAAACTCCGCACACTCGTTGCATCGCTTACTACTACGAAAGGAAGTTTGACATCATTTTAATGCTTCCTGACCGTGACAACAAGTAAAAATAATTGTTCGCCCTACTTGCCACACCCTGAAATTCGACATTTCCATGTGGGAAATCCACACTACAAACGGTTACCCCCATCAGTCATACCGAAAAGCTACAGACGTTGTTGTTGTTGTTGTTGTTGTTGTTGTTTCTCACAACAGCTCTACAGTCCACAAAAAATGGGGAGCCCGTGGTCTCAAAACCCGGCACATACGACGCCGCGGGGAAACAAACTAAAAATAGGGTACGAACGACTCGGAAAAAGAAAACAAGATGATAGAAAGAGAAGAACAGGTATCGCACCGACCGTTCGACAAAAGAGCCCTCGGAAACCGATCAAAATAAAACAAAAACAAATATAAAGGAGGACCCTTCCCACACCCGCCCAAATAAAAAATCAAAGGGTAACGTACCAGCATCAGGCATTACGCACCAGGGCATGGGAGTAACGGAGCAAACAGGACAAAGAGGCAAATGGGCAGACGGCCAGATGTACAAAAACAAAGGCAACAGCAAAAGCGAGATCAAGGTACCCAACACAGCAGAGTAGGCAGGGAGGTCATGAAAAAAAAAAAACACGAAGCACAGAGGCCGAAGGCAATACAGAGGACATACATAAAGGAGTATAGCATACAGCAGGGAGGGAAACAGGGCGCGACAAAATCAGCCGGGTTCATAGTTCGCCACAAGTGCTGCCTCGGCCGCCCTACTCGCTTCTACAGCAGTGCCCGGTCGCCGTTCCTTCCCCCCCACCGCCGCTTCCCCGACTCTCTTTCTCTTCGATCCTGAGATGGCCGTACTCTCTGCTTCTGCTTCCCTCGCGCGCTGGCGCTTCGCGGACGCTTCCGCCTCCTGCCTGTGCCATTTCCTCATGAACCATGTCGCCCCGTCCTCGACCTTGTTGTACCACACCTCCGGGTTCTTGGCGCTCTCTTTCCATTTACCCCCTTCCTTGGCCTCTCCCATGTTGAAGGCCACGAGGTCCTCTCCTAGACGAGACACCCAGTCGCTCTCCTGCCCGCCCCGGTATCCCACGCCCCCCGCCATCGCTCCTAACAGCATGCGCTTGGGGAGGCGACTGTCCTCCATGCGCATAACAAAGCCCGCGAAACACAGTCTCCGTTTGCGCACGGTGGCCTCGATGGTTTCATCGCAGCCTGCCTGGATGAGGGCCTGGGTATAGGACAGGGGGGCGGTCTGAGCGTTTCCGCTTGCTCCAGCCGATGCACCGTGTAAGGAACTGACGGTGGGTCCCATTGAGCTTCATGTAGTGCTCCGCTGTTAGGCTCCACGAGGCGCACCCATACAGGAGAGTCTCCACCACTTCAGCCTGGAGTAGCCGGATCTTGAGCTGGCGGTTGGCCCGTCGCCTGTCGTAAATCGAAGCACTGTTCCGGCGGTAGCACTTCCACGCTCGGCAGCTGCGGCTCGTGATCTCCCGGTCGGCCTTCCCGTCCGCGGAGATGGTACGTCCGAGGTACACAAACCGATCTGTCTGCTTGTACGTCTGGCCGGCGGCGCTGACCGTGAACGGGCGTTCCTCGATCCCTTTTGGCAGCATGCACATGATCTCCGTCTTTGGCTCCGACACCATCAGTCCGAACAGGCCGGCCACGCGCACGATGACCGACATCATCTTCTCGAGACTCTCCGGCGAGCGCGAGACGATGGCCGCGTCGTCAGCGTAGAGCATGGCCCACAAGGCCTCCGCGTCCGTCACCACCGTCGTCTTCTTCCCCGCCGACCTGCCCTTCTTGCCCGTGTACTCCACTTGTGTCCCGATCTTGACCATGTCCGCCGTCACGTTGGGGTCCTTGTCGAACTCGGCCACGGCGACCATGAGCATCGCGGCAAAGAACAAGTTGAACAGCAGCGGGGTCAGGTTGCATCCCTGTCGGAGGCCTTGGCCCACGTCGAACCATTCCTAGTACTGCCCGTCGTCCGTTCAGATGCGCGCCCTCATGCCCTCGCGGAAGTGGCGAATAACCGCCAGCATCTTCGGGGGCACGCCGAAGCGTCGGAGCACGTCCCACAATAGGTCTCGTTCCACCAAATCTTATGCCTTGGTGAGGTCGACGAAGCACGCGAACACCGCAGTACTCTTGTTCCTCGCGAGCTCATGGAGCCGCTGGATGGCGAACAGCATGTCGAGCGTCGACCGGTGTGGGCGGAAACCGCTCTGCTCCTCCGGGAGGATGCCCTCTCGCTCGCAGTAGTGGCTCAGTCGTGTAGCGACGACCTTAGGCAGCACCTTGCCGGCGTGTGCGACGAGAGAGATGCCCCGGTAGTTGCCGCACTCCATGTGTCCCCCTTCTTGAACAGCACTTTGATGGTGGCATCCTTCCACTGCTGTGGTACGTCCCCAGTCTGCCACACGTCCGCGATAATGGAGTGGAATTCGCGGAGGAGACCTTGATCTCCGTCCAGGAAACGCTTGATCAGCTCAGCCGGTAGGTCGTCCGGCCCGACGGCAGTACTATGTGGGTATGTTTTTGTATTGGGTATTTTTATTATTTTCCTGGTTTTGGCACAGTGCATGTGTAAATATTAACAACAATGATGACAACATATAACCACGAGCTACACGGAGAACATCACCCCTCCTCTTAATGCTGTATGGAAAATACCACCCCTCCTCATAACCCTGTATGGAAAATACCACATATATATCACCACGAGCTACATGGAGAAAAACATCCCACACAACTCCGACCTACACGGAACACACTTCGCTCTCCCGAGCAATACTGGAAAAACTATAATTACATAAACTAACCCGTGAACGCGTCAAGCCCCACCGTGCCGCCACAAAGCCTCACGAACAGCATTATTACCCTGTGGGGGCATACAGGGGCAAATATAATCGGGATCCACAGGCTATCATTAACCATCCCGGTACACACATTTTTTTTCTTGTTTCCCATCAGTGGACCCCGTTCGCTGCCCCTCTGGCCCCCTCCTCCACTTCTTCTAGCTAGACGACCCAACCGGAGCCACATGGGAGGAGGGGGGTTGGACCCCTTCCTGCGGTTCCTGCGTGAGATATTTTTATCGCGAGAAGGGTACAGCAATCCCTTCCCTCGCGACTTATGAAGTCGATCAAGGTTATTAACAACCAGCTTTCTTTGCAGCGCTTCGCTTCCAACGGAGACCAGGATTTAATAGCTGAGGAAAAAACTCACTCTGCCGGGACTCGAAACCACGACCTGGCCCTTAGCAGATGGCGAGGTTACCTACTAGACCACCGGGGCGACCGGTGCATCATATACCGTGACGACAGATTCTAGTCACGCAGGCGACACTTTCCCACCCGCACATGATCAACCCCCCGTACCACTTAACTACAAGTGGGATTATCAGGTAATGGACGTGGATCCAAATACGCGTGTGTAGTAGAGTATCGATGGGAGAGGCTTTAACGAGGGTATGTGGGCAGGCTAGTGCAGGCATTGGTTTGGGTGATGATTTTCTGCCTTTCTCCTCCTCTCTCGGTTTCACCATCAGCCTGGAATCATCGGTGTCTCACACCAACCATGTGGAGACAACAAAAACACCCAAAACCCACGGTGAGTACAGGAACCGAGAGTAAGAATGGGTGAGTACATATGCATGTGAGGTGAGTACGCGTGGTGCATGGTTGAGAGATGGAAACTCGGGGGAAAAAAAACTCTTTGTTTCTTTTTCCGTGACACGCAAAACGTCTTTGGATTGACGGTCATTTGCCTATACAGTGCCGTACACGCCCACCACCACAACAACACCTTTTCTGAAGCACATCGCTTCACCTAAACATGGAACTGGTTTATCGAGCTGTGGGCGCCTTCATGACTGACCGAACCTGCGCCATATCACCTTCTGTTGGGCTTCTGGAATGCCTGCGCGTCAGAGAGCGTGAGTTGTTCATGTCCAAACGCGAAATGGACGTGAAACAAATACCGCGCGTCGGCGTGGTGTGCACCGCATGATGATTACTTCATTTTTTACCCCTTCGCGCGGTTCTGACGGGCTACCTGTAGTTATGCGGGGTGCACTCCCTTGCTCACCGTGCAACCGTGCGGAAATACAGACCACACGAGACCACCAATCGATTCTCGTGACGATGAGCACGATTAGTGAGCATGTCACCCCGTCGACTACCAAACCCACAAATTAACCTTAAAATGAAGATGAATCCGAGCTCCATTAATCATTACATCTACGAATTTGTTTTGCTGAGTACCTGTCATCGGACACGACGACATTCTTACGACACCACCATTGTTGGGCTGCCTCCAACCTCGTGGTTTGTTCCGGTCATTCTGGCCATATCTATCCCACCTTGACCTGACTACAAAAAAAAATCTGGTCGTGTTATGCTCACGAACGATCGATGTCCTCCAGCCTCCTACCACCACAGGGATCTGTCCCTACATGCACCCCTTTCAAACACGACACACAAAAGAACAGCCGTGCCCAAGTTCAAAAAACAGGAACCCTTTTCGGCACCGGAGGGCAAAGCATGGAACAATAAATAAAAAATTAGCGCGACCTCGCGAACAACAGGAAGACACGTACTTGTGTTTGCGTGTTGACGCTTGTGCCGTTGATGAGCACGTGGAATAATGTAGGAAATATCTTCGATTTTCCACCCCCGGTTGATCTTTTCTCCGCTCAACAGAGCAGCACCTACTTCACGGAAGGCAACATGCCTTGTCTGCACCGGAACTCGGAGCGGCACCTGACAGTGCATACACCAAACGCTGACGGGCCGGGAAATTGTTCTACCCAGTCCACCATGCAGGGCGCCACACTGATTGGTTCTGAGGAGCGGGTACTGACCTTACGGTCACCCTCCCTGCCACTGTTTACTGCCACACCACGTCGCCGCCGCATGTGTTTTACTATTTCATCTCGTACCATACCCTAAGACGGTGAAGCCCATCTCTCTGGCGCGTGGTCACGGCATAGGCGACACGCACAAGCTTGTATGGCACATCTGACTTGTTGTGATAGCCAGGCTCTATCTGGGGGTTTGTCCTTTTCTGTCTGAGTTTTACGTTTTGGGGGATGGTTGTTCTCCCTCTCGGTTTCACCTGATTACCAGCCTGGGCTACCGGCAACGATGTGGTGACGATGTCGCGGCCCCGGGGCGCAGCACTACTCATTTATTTATATCAAAATTGAGTAAAGATACAGTGCCATGTATTACATTATCCCTTGCACCTGCCTCCCCACCGGCCCGCCCTGCCGCACCAACATCCTGGTTGAGGTTGGGTAAGTGTAGTACAGGTGAGAGCGTGGAATTGACCATGGGGGCACTCACCGACACTTCGTCAGAAACGCCCATGGCGGCATGTGTTTATTGTCGTTGATTTTGTTTCGATTTCCTGTGGAGAGGGTAGGGACGCCCTCAGCGTCGTTACTCCTTGGATTGTACCATCACAAGCTCTGTGCAATCTGCACCAAGCCACAACGCCGACACCAAACTTCAACAAACCACAATTCCACAAATCAACGACGCTCATCCCAAGATATGCACATCACAGACCGCGATTATTGCGGACATGACCACACAACCAGCACCGACCCACAAGGCACTTCACCGTCGAATAACGACCCATTTGACCACAAAACCTGGACCCGACACTGCCACACCACAGTGCCGACTACAAAATGAACACGATCCACCAAAAGACCCCGGGCAACCGATCGTGTGTCACAACTAAAATCAAACATCTGGGCTTCTTCATCGTGCATCCATCATCTTTCTTTTCCCCTGGCGCCATCGCCACCTGTGAC